TGTTTCAAAGAGTTTGATATATAAAGAAATAATTACAGACTCCATTCATTTTAGAACAAGACTAAAAGTGTGACTGATTATTCTGCTGCCTTTTGGGCCTTAAAAAGATAAAGTTTGTTCTGTTGAAGGTGATGGAGAAAAGGCAACTGGGTAATAAAAGTCAGTAAAGGAGTAAAGGAAAGGTCAAGGGTCACACTAAAAAACAAGGAAAAAAAGGATTCATCCTCTAAGGACCAGGAATTTCTGCAGTACTGTTTTACAGTCTGATTATTAGTTTGATTTCTTGTGTATAAAATTGACTTTTTTTGGTATGCTAATGAAATGGTTCCAGGGATGGCAATGATGGTCTACAGTCTATTAGACACTATTACATGGATTTACATGGCATTTTCATGGTCCCCATATGATAAAATGTAATCATTTTGGTAATCCCTTCACTTTGTCCAATACTTTGGATTATAACCAAATACTTGCAATTACATTCTCATCAGCTTCAGCTGTATGTTGTGTTTAGTGCGATTTAGTAAATGTTAGCATGCTAATGCTAAACTAAGGTGTAAATCTGATAAACATTTTTATCTGATAAATTAGCACATAATGTGACATTGTCATTGTAACTTATTGATCATGCTAACATTAGTACAGCCTCAAGGACTTTGAATATCTGTACTAAATCTAAAAGCAATTTGGACAGTAGATGTCAAGATATTTGGCTCCAGACCAAAGTATTGCGGTGAAGTATGGTCAGACTGAGCAACCTTGACATCTTTATGTTCCACTCGGTCAGTAATTCAAAAACACAGTGGATTTTATCCTATGTGCTGAAGTGGTGTTTGTCTGTACTGTACTCTACTGATTTTGCATTTTTTAATTTTGCAATATTGCTTACCTTGTCTCTCGGTAATGCTTGTTTTACCTCAGTGGGCAGTTAATCTATGGGAAAAGGGAACAGAAACTAGAGGAGAAGAAAACAAAACCCCTTTATTCTGATAAACTTTGCTGGTGTATTCCACTATGCTTCCTTAAAAACCTTTGGCCGAAAATGACCTGAAATCTGACCTGAGAATTTGGACTTAACATTTGTAAGGACATTTTTAGACCAATCACAATTAACTTTAAATCAAACATTTGATGACGTTGTAAAAAGGAGCATCCTGTTGTCTGCACAATAAATAAATGCTGCATTAACATAAATTAATTTTTCCTGTGTCTGTTATGCATCTTAATGTGAATGCAGTCCTACTGATATTGATTTCTTTTTTGCCTTCTCAGATCCAAGGTAAGTGCATATTTAGTGGCTACCTCCCACTTAGATTATTGAGTATTATACTGTAAGTAAATGTTCTGCAGATTCAGCTAACTTTAATTCACAGTTTTAGTTAAAGTGCTTAGTATAGATTAAATGATTTCATTAAAACGTAAATGCTGGATTACCTCAAGCAAGCTTAATTTTGTGCATGCTCCAAAGGCAAACCACAAAAGACATTATAGATTCCTGCATAATACTTGCAAATAAATACTATTTGTATTTGTATAATAACTTAATCAAGTAAGCATTCACAAAAATAATTGATTAGAGCGTACTTATAATACTAATTTAAAAATTAAAAACTTCAGAAGTCTCAAGGACAACTTAATAGTGTATTTGTGGCATATAACATATAACATATATCTCTTCCAAACAGGAAAAGCAGTGAGACCATTATCAGAATGAATTCAATGGAAATTGATGACAGCATATATTTAAGTGATAACCTCACAATGGAAGGTCTCATTAGCCAAGGTATAGTATCAACCTGAAAACATGTGGACAGACAAATAATTAAGGTATTTTAGGTACAACTGTGTGTAACCCGTGTGCTTTTGGAAACTAACCTGTTGATCAACTTGAATTTTAAAGAACTAATCTTAAACTTTTTCATATAAATGCCATTTTCTGCTCTGAATATGTAAAAATTATTTTATATTTGTTTTTTTGGTATTTTCTAACAAGCTAAAGGGTGCTCCTATTTCACAAGAAGAATCTGGCAGCCTGTCTCTTAGAAATTATGTTTATACTGTAAATTACTAAATAGCTTTCCTATTATGTTGTGCTGGCAAATGTAATAGCTTCCTGGATTATGTTCACAGGCAACGTTTTTCTGAGTGAACAAAGCAAATTTATGTACTGCACAGAACAGTGCAGGACTTTCTCTCCGTAATCTGGATTTCCACATCCAGACTCTTATCTGTACTTAATTTTTGTCAAAAAAAAACTTTGGTTTAGGGAAATATCTGTAATTTTAGTTAAATATTCATATCCACGTTGTCTGAACTAAACCACAGCATGATGACCATGATCTTTCCCTAACCTTAACCAAATGTGTGCATGAACACCATGAATGTAAATGTAAATGCTCCGTATTTGTATAGCGCCTTTCTAGTCTTTTCAACCACTCAAAGCGCTTTTACACTACATCTGCATTCACCATTCACGTACATTCATACACTGGGCCTAAGTGCTCAAACAGAGACTAATATCCACCCACATTCATATACTTTGTGTGAATGTTAATAATTAATAATTCGGGGTTCAATATCTTGCCCAAGGACACTGCGACATGCAGCCTGGGGGAGCCGGGATTGAAATAAAATTAAATATGTTGTCAGAGAACATTTTACATTTTACTTTCAATATGAACATTTGTGCCACTTGCCAGACATGTTAAATAACATTTTCTCATTATGTTGATAGAAACTATAATCTAGGTGACATTGTTTCCTTCAAACCCTATTTACTGTTGCAAATTTGTTTATTGCGCTTTCTAGGAGACAGAAGAAAAGGAGACACAGAGATGTCTTTGTTCTCATCACTTAATGGACCAACTGTCCAACACTTGATTTTAATGCTTTAATGTTAATGTTAACATTTTTGTAAATAAAAAAAGTTATTAATAAGTAGAAGACCATTTGTCTGTAAAGTGATAATGTTTTAAACATAATTACAAACTTAAACAAAACATAAACATTAAAGTCTACCTGAAATTACATAGCACATTTGTTGCCTGCTATGGCTACATATCTGCTGTGTAAATCACTTGTCCTGTGTTGTCCTTTCAGAAAAACCTAACATAAAACTTTTGGTAGTTTTACATTCTTTCAAATATATACCATTCTGGTGTCCCTTTGCATCGATGGAGACCTTATTTCGACATGCAGTAAAAGACGAATATATAACTGATTACATCGAGCCGCTGCATGAATTGTCCCTACCCAGCTGATGTGAGGCTTTTGCGGTGATAGTAATGAATTGGACCCTCTGTTGTGCTGTGAGCCGCAGACAGTGGGTAATGTGGGTAAGTGTGACAGAGTGGTAACGTAGCTGGTAGAGTTTTGTAATATAAACATCTTAAAACTGTGGTGCAAGCTTGCTATATTTGGGACTGTGAGCTGGGACGTTATCGGTGGTGCTAAAGTTAACATTTGTGTGGATTTGTGGTGAGATTATGCTTATCAGATATGTTTTCAGAAAGTTTTGGTTTCCACCCCGTCTGATCCTAAAATACAGTCCCAAATAGTTCTGTGTCTGTCAGACGGTCTGAAGGTGATACTAAGCAATAACTAAATTTGCAGCAGAGTAAAGGGCAGGTAGACTTTTAAAAAGTATAATGAATTCTCATTAAATTATGACGTTAATCTCGTAATATTACAAGTTTTTTCTTGACATGTCAGAAAACATTTCCTTATGTGGAAGAGATTTTGCAAATGCAAAAAGTTTTGAACATGAAAGAGATAACCTGCTGAATCAGAGGAACTATTAAAGTCCAGGAGTTTATAACGGAATAAAAATGAATAAATTTGTCATTGAGGCATTGAGGCTTTGAGGCCACATGCACATTTAAAGAGGTAACTTCCCCTAACAAAGACACAAAAGAGGAGGGAAGACTAAATCATTCCTGCTTATGTGTTGACTCAGCAGGGCTGATATTAAATGAGAAATGTTTATCTACAGGAGAAAATATATCTGAAAGCAATACAGAATGCCTTACTGCATCATAGTCCATTGTACTTTTATATTTTGAATTGTCACCTGCCACCTTTATTTCCCTTTACATAAATAAAAACATTTTCACCATAAATTGATGCAGAAAAGGAATTCAGGAAATTAAGTGTTTACTGCTCAAAATGTTCATATATAATTAACCATCGAAGATTTCTTTAAAATTGTGTTAAAATCTTGTCTCCTCTCGTTCTTGTGAACCCAATATTGTGTATTGTCTCATCTTGTGAGCTAAGTGTATCGTCACACCCTTAGCTGCTCAGCTACAGCACATTAAACAACATGTAAAGGTACTTGCAAATGTCACTTCAGTCCGATTAGATGCTGGCGTCGTCCTTACTCTTCAATACCACTAATAACATGCTGTCTGCCTATGACACGCTCATTTGTTTACTCTGTGTCTCGGTCCCTTCAGTGTAACACTGGCCCTCTAACTGTCAGTCTAACACAGACAGCAGCATTTCTGATATTTCCCCAAAGACCTTGTCTCTTCCTTTTAATAATATGAAACTATAAACAAAACATTTGAAAAAAATGTTACATTATTTTGAATACAAACAGGATGAATAAATGTGATTTCAGATAGATGCATCCTACCAAAAATGATGTTTTTGATGGGAAACATTGATGGGAAAATCTTATTACTGTAATCGCATCACTGTCTCTGCTGTTTTCCTACTTTTGATTTAGTAGGTTTTCAGAGAAGAAAGCAGCCCTCTAGATGTATGACTGTGTGTCTCGGATTTCTGTGTGCTGTCCTGTTGGCTGGTAACATAGGACAGATTATCTACTGTAAGTAATTTGTTTGTTGTCCTTAAAAAATATGAATAATGTATTCAACAACTGCCACCTGACTTAATGTTTAAGAAACCAGGTGATGTAGACACTCATAAAAAATACAAATGAGACAAAAACAACAGGGCATTTTTAAAATGTCTTTCCATTTGACAGATGAGATAATCAGCCGTCCGGCGTCAGCAGACCCAACGCAGGCCAATTACAGCACTCCGACTCAAGATCGACTGCAGAGCGGATGTGATGCCTTAACTGCAGAGAGAAAACAGTTAGAGGCCAGACTGAGTAACCTGACTAAAGAAAAAGACCAATTTCAACAAAGTTACAGTTCTTCAACTACTGAAAGAGATGAGTTCAATGCCAGTTTCAACAATCTGAAAAATGAATGGGACAAGTTACAATCAAGTTATAACAGGAATTACTCTTCACTGAAGAGGGACATGGACCAGTTGCAAATAAACTACAATATACTGAATATAAGTAAAACGCAACTTCTCCTCAGCTACAGTTCATTGTGGAAAGACAAAGAACAATTGCAAACCATTTATAAAACTCAGCGGCAGGAAAAAGAGCAGTTGCAGACCAATTACAGCAGTTTGGTTGCAGATAGAGATCAGTTAGCGAAGAAGATCGACAAAGTAAGAAGTAAGATGTTTCTCTGAAAGGTTTAATTAATTCAATATACAGTTATAATCAGTATCTTCATATTCTTAACCTTTTTGTGATATTTTGTCCCTCTCTATGTTTTCAATTTGCAGGAAAACCCTGTCAGAGAAGCTGGAGGAAGTTTGACATCAGCTGTTACTTTTTTTCAAATGTGAAGAAAAACTGGACATTAGCCAGAAAAGACTGCATTTCCAAGGGGGCAGATCTGGTCACCATAGAGAGCAAGGATGAACAGGTGAGAAAGAAAGACAGATGGAACAGACAGAATACACTGGCAAAGGTCAACCAGGTGTTGTCTTGAGACAATAAAGCAGCCTTTTAAAGCAGAAGCAAAATTATGTTTTGATCTCATTGTTCAAATTGGAGCAACTGAACGGGTTTCTGAGCGATGTCACTGTGAGATGTGGACACATACAAGAGGGTAGAAAACAAACCAGAATGACTGAGTGAGCGCTTATGGAGAGATCAACATGAGGAGTTGTATTATGGCATAAACTAGACAAATTGCAAAAGTCAGAGCCCCTTTTATGAATGAAGTATTGCCTGTGCCTCTGTTTATATCGTCTCATCCTGCTTCATGACTTACTGCCTTGCTTACTGTGAATTGCTAGATAATGTTATACTGCCAAAGATCCATACTTCTGTTGGTTAGTTGGTTTGCAGGTCAGCATGCCAATGAGGAACAAATGGAAATTGATTCATAGATGTCTGTCTGTGTGTCTGTTTATGAAAAACTCAGATTTTATTACCAGGAGGTCTGAAGCACATAACATGACATCAGATTGTTGCATGTTTGTGTTTTAATTATTCATGTCTTCTCTCTGTGCTACACTAAGGAATTTCTTAGCGGGTCTCTGGAAGCAGGACAAAATGCCTGGATTGGTCTGACGGACAGTGTTAAAGAGGGGACTTGGATGTGGGTGGATGGGACCCCAGTCACCACAGCGTAAGTTTAAACTGTCAGAGTGATTGACCTAAAAAATCTCATATTCTCACATTTGACAGCTGTGCACTGAATTAATCATCTTTTACTGACTATATTATGGAACTCCGCAGCTTTGTAATATTACATTTCAAAGGTTTATTGTATTTTATAGCACAACTCACAGCACAGTTCAATACAGGACTAATGTTACCTACAGTTAGTAAGCAATTCTACAAGGATCAGTGGGGATTTTAATGTTGTATTTTGTTGATGACAGAATTCCTAATAATAATGTTAGGTAAAGTGAACTCAAATTTCTGCCAAACTCTGTTTTGTTTGTATATCCTTCACAAAACTATGAACTACTAGAAAATGTGGAAGAAGGTTTTGAATGAATTTTTGTCCACAAAGTAGGTTACAGCACATTCAGCTTAAAGATCTGGCCCGCTGAATCAGGAGTTGATGTACCGATAAACTGAGACCTTAAGACAACTGCATCTGCAGAGGCATTGATTTCAGCAGAATTCATTATCTTTTGTGAATGTGTTTCAAAACAAACAAGGGTGGTGATGGGGGTGGTTTGACAATTACATGAGGACTCTACATAGTATTATTTTTATGCAAATGAGACTCAAATGAAAAGTAAAATATCGTTGCAATCAATTCAGTCACAGTTTGGATCAGAAACAACAGGTCAGAGCAGATGAGAAACAGAACACTGGGCTGCTGAGGGAGGAGTAAATTGTTTCTGTCTCTGTTATCACTTACATCAGGTACTGGCAGCCTGGGCAGCCCAACAGCTTCAATGGGAACCAGGACTGTGGAGAACTGGTGCCCAAAATGAAAGTGGGAGAATGGAACGATGATGGCTGTTTTGCTGAACAGCACTGGATCTGCGAGAACTAAGATCAAAACGATTTACACTATTAATGATGGTGTATGGCTTTGGACTGTGGTTCTAATATATATCTTCAATTATTAAGTCTGGTGATATTACATATTTGTTTACTGCCAACAAACCCCATGATAAGACCAAAACTGACAATTGACTCAACTAACAATCTTATTCCTCTGTGCCATAGAGCTCCATTGTTATCCAAAAATGATTTAAAACACATTAATGAGTCACCCCATTGCACTAGGTGACATTCCTCACTATCATAAACACACATGCTCAAGTTTATATTAAGTCCTGCTGCCGAAAATACAGTGGTTCTCAAACACGCAAGGGTGGTTCTCAAACTTTTTCATGTCAAAGAACCACTGCACTAGAGCACCAAGTGTGTATTAATCAGCAGCTGAAAATTTTCCCCAACAAATACACTATTTACTCCATTTTAAATAAAGTTTGCCAAAAGTAAAAGGCTCAGCTGTTTTAGGAAATTACTAAGCCACCCGTTTTTAAAAATGTTCATCTTCAGTGGGAACTACGGACATAAGAGAGCCACAAAAGAAGTCATTAAGTGTTGACAGATGGCAAAAACACATTGTTGGTTTTGGTCTTTTCATTGGATTTGTAGAAAATAACAAACATATAGTCCATTGCAAGACTTATTGTTTGACACTGTTAAAGGGTCAGTTCTCCCAAATTACAATTAAACATATTTCTCATATTTCCATACCTTTATCACGCCACATAGATAGTTTAAAAGTTTTGAGATATCTGTCTCTGCCACCACCCCAATACAATGAAGATGAACTGAATTTGTGCCATTAAAATCTCAGAAAAATGGCAACAACAACAACACCTTATATCAGAAACAAATGGGCTTTGGACCCATTCTTTACTTGTACATTTCCATCAGCATAATCACATTTTTTTGTTTGCAGAGCCAAATGTTAATATAGTTTATTTTTAGCTTTCATGAATTTAAGTAAACTTTGATAATAATTTACTGTTTAGCTGATGATTAGTATTTCATGTAATGTTAACTGCTTGGTTGTACAAAAACAGAAATTTGCTATCAATGTCAAGTACTCTACTATAGTATTCGGTGGCCTTTGGCATAGCTTTTAATATGTTTGCAAATTGCCATTTGTGTGATTAATAAATATGGATGAAAATGAATATTTATTACAAATAATGTATGTTACAAAGCACCCACCCCCAACATTTGCATTTTGTATTAATAAATTAATGTATCACTTTGTATTGATTACATGATACTGGTGAAATGTGCGGTATAAATGTCCACCTCTGTATTTTGCCAAATAAATTTAATGTTTGTGTTTCGTCTTCCCTGGGTACTGCATGTTTACAGTATATTCAGTAGTAATAAGTAGATTCTGTGTTTTGCATCATGGGGATATAGGATATTTTTTTATTTTTTTAGCTTCTTACTGGCAGATAAAAGTAAGGCAGATGGCGAGCAGCTAAGGCAGCCTCAGGGCAGGACAGCGTTCCACCTAAAAAAATATAAATACACCTGCGAATGTAACAAGAGTTGGACTAAACAGTATGCACCAATCTACAAAACATAATCAAGAAGTAACTTTAGACTTTTTTCAATTAATGTTGAAATTTTTGTAAATCCATTACCAAAATGTATGTCAGCAAAGCATGGAAAACTTTTACTCTTTCATGTGCACGTTTTTTTTTCTCTTTTGTCCCTTTTTAGTGATTTTAAAGGTATACTGTGTGAGTAATACTGTGAGTAACTGAAATGTACTCACCCAGTACAAAGGTATTTTTTTTTATTCTGGGTAAAATAACGATAATAATGCTAAAAATGAGCAAAATACATTTTCTTTTGAAATAAAGCATAAAATAAAAATGGGGGTAGGGGTTGGACAGTCTATTCCAACAACTGTACAAAACTTAACTTCCAAATTTACTAAAGAGTTAAATCAGAGCCTCTCTGCAAAGAGCAACAGGAACAGGAACTGAACACAGGATAGCACTGCAGAGCTGTTGCATTGGATTGCATCATCTCATACAGGTGTTGCTTCTACTCTGTCTACCTCCGCTTGTTACCGTGGTGCACCCTGAGCTGATGACAACTGACACATGCCAAGTGCTGACCATGCTCTCTACAGCCACACAGGACTACATTTTACATAACACAGAAGAAGACACGGCACATTTTAGAAACACTAACATGTGAGCAGTATACAGAGCAGATGTATTTAGTGGGCAGAGACACCACGCTCTGGCATGTGGCTCATTCTGGGTGTGGTGGCGGTTGCATTGAGTGCGGCTGCTATTGAAGGGTGCATCTTAACCATTAATTGGACTAAGCTTTTTGATTCCCCCTAGAGAAGAGTCCGATCCAAACCGTCTGTGGTTGGGTGGTGAGATGGAGCTCCCCCCCGGGATGTAGGCGGGTGGTGAGGTTATGCTTTGGGCAGCCTGACTAAAAATAAAAGATCAAGGAGCCCCAACCAGACATGTTGGTCTGGTTAGACTCACAAAGCAGAAACAGAAAGAAATGCTTTTAGAAATAGTTAAAAGGGTGTTGCATGTGAGCTAATGTACTTAAATAAAATAGGTTACTTTTTAAAGTGTAGTACATAGCAACTGAATGGCCAAATTAAACATAACACAATTCAACACAAGTTGAAATGAAATAAGAACTATCCTTGCTTGTATAAGGAAATATAAACTATAATGATACTGCAGTTATTGTATGTCTATTTTTTTATAAAGTAATAAAACCAGTTTTGGACATATTTGTGGAAACAGCTTCAAGACACAGGGTGGCGTGCAGGGCAAGGTTGACTGATGGAGAGCTGGCCATGCTTGGAGGGGTGCTATCAACTTCTGTGGTGCGCTACCAATTTTAGAAGTCTGTCTCTCTACAACATTCAACATTTGGGAGGAAATTTTTGCTGTTAAGCTTTCCACATGGAAAGTGGAAGCTAGCAAGCTAAGCTAACCAGCTTCCACTTTGTGTGTAGAAGCTTGTTAGCCTTGCTTGCTACTGTTAGCACTGATTCCCGCTAACTTTACTTTTATTTCAATTTTCAGCACATGCTGAGTCAAAGGGGATCAAGCTAAAATTTTTATGTTAAGTTTGGATCTGTGATTGAAAGTAGTATTTAATGTATTTTGAACTTGTGTTTGTATTGAGTAGTATCAGTGTTTGTATCTCCCCACCAAGAGACTGCACTTTTCTTGTGTTTGGGTGTGCGATCTTATGGGTGGAACAGTATCTGTTTTAGTGTGTTCTTGGGTTTGAATAGCACAGGGATGTGGTGTTTGGCTCCTGAGTGTCACGGTTTGGTGAATGCAAAGCAGGAGAGAGCCCAAATGCAAGACACTGCAGAGCAGACATACAGTTCAGGGGATTTTCATCCAAAACACCAGGGATGAACAAAACTCAGAATTCCACTGGGTACCTCACAGTGGGCCTGAAAACCTATTCCTCCTGGCTGTAAAAAGTGACTGTGCTGGAAATGTAACACCAATACTTCCCTTGGTAGCTCCAAGTATAGAATTTCACAACGTTAACTACAAGTTTAAAGTCATGTGACTTATGTCACTTACGTAACATACTTAATGGTTTGGTGCACCTGTTGCTGGACTGGTACTTTCCAACAGTCATAGGCATTGAAAATCTACCAATTTTGTCATTTAGTTATGAGGACGTGACACCCATTTAACATTTTAAAGCAGTATTTGAACTCTTTATAAGTGATTATAACACATGATCAGAATCAGAAATACTTTCTTTATCCCCAAGAGGAAATTCTTAAGGGAAGGGGACTTTTGTTCTCTGCATTTAACCCATCCTAATTAGAAGCAGTCGGCTGCCATCAGCACCTGGGAAGGAATTAGGGGTTCAGGGCCTTGCTCAGGGAAACCTTCGGCAATGGCTCAAGCTGGACTTGATCCGGCGACCCACCAGATCCCAAGCCAAGTCTCAACAGGCTGAGCTTTTGGCGCTATTGATGATGCAGTTGTAAGCTTAGATTGTTGTTACTTACATTTTGTAAGTGTTTGTTAAAAGATATTGTCAACATTTGTAGCTCCATTCATGAAACATTGATAATTATATAACAAATTATATTATTATATATAATATATATATAACAATGTATAACATAGCTATATATAATTACACACAATCAAATTGTGCAGTGTCTTATTAACTGTTTATTCACCACTGATGGTTGCTTCATTAGAAGAGTTAAAGCTGTTGATAAATCAATATAACAAATCAATAAATGCTCACAAATATATTATCTGATTATTATCTGCTTACAACTACATTATATTGTGCGATAAATCATTTATTAACTGGTTTAACACTGCTTACAAATGTGTTTATAAGCAATGTTTAAATGAGGTGTTTCAATAGAATTATTCCTTCTCTGCAAGCATTTAAAGCTCCTAGATTATTTATGTGACTGTAACATCTTTAAATGGCAACGGTTTTCATTTGTACTGTAGAAAATTGAGACAAAGCCAGTGAAAATTGGTGCTGTCTGTGTGTGTGCGCCAGGCTTGAGCCACACTACTAATATAGCTAAAAAGATGACAGGAGAAATAGTAACATGACAGATGAATTAAATTAACAAAGAACGCATAATACATGTTTAGACTATTGTTAGATTTACTTTCATGATACTGCCTCATAATAATATATGAATATAATTAACATATGCTATGTTTACTCTTATTTATAATGAGTAGATATCAGTCACCTGCTATCTTGATCTGTCAGGCTCCAACATTTCTCTTGACAGCATGAAGAAGCTTAGGCTGTATCTGAGCTCAGCCTCTCAGAAAGCAGATAAAAATTCAGCTGACAGAAAACATGAGTCTATTTTTAGTGGGTAGACTGAATTTCCTAATCACCTCCAGGACTCCTGAATGAATAATGAATAGTATCTTGTCAGTAACTTCACAAAACTAAAACAGGCTGAGCATCCAAAACATGTCAATGGTGGAAGATGGCTCCAAATCAGAGCACACTGAGAGCTGACTATGTTTTGTTTTTTTGCAGCAGTTTGTGACCCCAATGACCATTATCATGCATTCTTATACATCTCCCATATAAACTAAAGGGAGGCTATGAATGAGGAGGGTGAAGCTGCTGTGTCGGATAGAGATAAGGGGAAACGACTGTGGCCAAGAGACGCCATCTTTCAGCCTGTCACACTCTACACTGCCCATATTAATTAGCCTGTATAACTCATGAACTGATCTGAAACAGCCACTTCAGGAAAAGAAAAGGAGAAGACTTATCGACATCTCAGGAGTCTGCTATCTCTACACAATAGCAACACAGTGATTTGTGTCTTCCTTGATATGATACAGGTATGTTCATATGGACAATCAGATCATAATAATCCCACTATATATATTTTTTAGGTTTTATTTAAAGTTGTTTTTCATTGTATTGTATCCTTTAATTTAGTCCACCTTAAGTTGAAATAGGGGATAGTCAGATAATAAAATAAGATATATTAACTGTATGATAAATCAATACTAGTACAAGCTCCATCAGGTGTCACAGTTGTATTTTTCGTGACTGTACCTCAAAGAGATAGGAACTAAAACGGCTTGTTTCAGACAGAGGATATATAAGGATTTTTTGTGAATCATGCAAAGCTACTCTAGTGGAGTCCCAGAATAAAAATATAGAGCTGGAAATAAACATAATAGGTTGTATTTAATGACTTGAGTTTTTCAGTGAAGCTTATTAATCATCACTAGAATTATAAGTAAAATAAATGTAAATATGGGTTGTAATTTTGTGCTGCACAAACGACCTATATGGTCGTTTTTCTGGTGAGGACAGTCTCGAATTGTTCCTTATCAATACTGGTGTTTATTGTTATGTTAAGGGTGGAATAATTGGAAAATGGCACTCATTAAGCTTTAGGGATGTGGCTGGCAAAATATCAGCCAGCAAGACTCTGAGTGGCATGGGGGACAAAATAACTTTATTAGAGAAATTAAAATTTAACTATGCACAATTATCTGTTGCTGCAAAAGGTCTGGGACTTTGCTTAACTCAGAAAAAAACAACATTTTCATTAAGGCAGTTGAAAGTTACATGTATGGATTTTGAATTGTCTCATGCTAATCCATCTAGCCTACGCTTTACGAAAAGGTCTTAACTGTATCTCAGATTGATGTTTGAGCTTGAGATTTCAAATCATACCAAGGCTTTTTTTTATATATCACATTAGCTCATAACTTA